TCTCTCCCAATTACAACGATGTCATCCAAATACGCAAACGCGAACGGATCTAGTTCGCGTCCGATGACACTATCTAGGGCGCGTTGGAAAGTAGCGGCTGCGGAGTGTAACCCGAATGGCATGACACGCCACTGGAAGAGACCCCGACCCGGGACTGTGAATGCAGTGTACTGTTTACTGTTTGATGCCATGGGTATTTGCCAGTAGCCACTTTTCAGGTCTAATGTCGACAAGACTGGAGGAATCGATCTATATGTTCTTGGTCCTCTACTGACCATTCCCCTTCTCGCCGAGGGGGCGTGGCTTCTTCTTCCTGGGTTTCCTGTGTTCCCTGGTTTTCCTGTATTCCTTGGTTCTCCTGTGTTCCCTGGTTCTCCTGTATTTTCTCTCCTTTCTCCAGTTCATTTCCCGTGTGTTTCTCGGTCCTCTCTCCAATTTCCGATATCTCCCAATTCTCCCCTAAGGTCTTAAAGTCGCCACGTTTTACGTACATCTGGTATGTGGGGAGGCAGTTCTTGTAAATCCTTTCTAACTCCTTCGTCTGATCATACCCTGCGTGTCGCATCAGCGTTCGGATCTCGATAACATAATCCTTGAAGCCCTCTCCCTCACGTTGGTAACGAGCTCTGATGTCGTCTTCTAATCGTCGAAAATAATGTGGGGGTAAGAAAAAGTCTAAGAACTCCCGCCGGAATACTGGCCAAGTGGCTCCCTGCAGTTGACTGGTCCTAAACCACCGGGAGGTCCAGTCTGTAAGAGTTTCCGTCATAACTCTTGGTAGTTGCGCTAAGGGAAGGGCGTACGATGTAGCCCTCTCCTCCAACTCTTCTAGGAACCCCAACGTTTCGCTATGGCCATTGAATTTGAGTCCCCATTTTCGGACTTGCTCTGCTATGACACCGTGTGCTGTGGCCCGGCCAAAATTTCCTCCGAAAGCCATTTCCTTCTCCCGTGTAAGATTACATTTGGTATTATTACGGCCGGTGGTTCCCTCCGTAGCTATTACTCGTTCGTGGTCGACAGGGCTTCCACCTCTAGGGGTGAAAAATCCTGGCACCTGTAATTGGATTGACCTGGGGTCTAGGTCGACTTCTTCTACCCTTTTCATGTCGTCGTTCACTTCCCAATTCGCGAATCCAGCTTCTAATCGGACCAATCGGGCCCTTTGGGATGGAGAGAGCTCACCTGCTTTGACTACTTTGTCCACCTTGCCTGTGCCGTCGAATCCGAATTCCTGTGCGAAGATGAGTAATTCGTCCTTCCTTAGCGTATAGATCCAACGAGTCCCTATGCGACTGTCTGGCGAGCCGATATTAGTTTTCTTTCCTTGTTCGTTTTCTGCAATTGCGTTATATCCGGTATGCTCCCTTTGTGTTTCTTGTCAAAAATCCGTTCTTGATCGCCGTTCTTACTCCTTAACTATTTTAGCCAGCCTCACACTTTACGGGTCTTTAATCCGCTTGATGTTTTTGGTGCTGATCGTAAGGATGTTTTCCCAGCCAGGATATGCTCAGGGGTTGGCTAGGGCCTCCACAAATTATTTATAAATTTACAGTGGACGATGTGGGTTAATTGAGTGAGGCGTGAAACGGAACCAAAAGGTACGTGACTGGACCCAAGACTGATTACTGAGCTCGGGCAGACCCTGGACTTAGTAAACAGTTATCGTGGGAACCTATGTCAATAGTGACTACAATAAATCTGGTCGAGGCAGGGTTTGGATACGGTAAAACTCGGGTAGGCCCCTGGGTTTCACTACTAAATACGATACTTTCGAGCGGGCTCTGTGGGAATAATGGCTATATCAAAACTCGGGCGGCCCCTTGGTTTTAATAATAACTACGGTAAAACTCGGGCGGACCCAGTGTTTTATTAATAACTACGCTAAAACTCGGGCGGACCCAGTGTTTTATTACTAATTACGATAAAACTCGGGCGGACCCAGGGTTTCGTTAATAATAACTACGATAACTACGATGCTAATTACGATAAAACTCGGGCGAACCCAGGGTTTTATTACTAACTACGATAAAACTCGGGCGGACCCAGGGTTTTATTAATAATTACGATAAAACTCGGGCGGGCCTAGCACTCTATTAACGGCCGATATGTTAGTTAATTACGCGTCGGGGATACGGTTCCGTTACGTTTGATCGATTCTCAGGTTAGGGTTATTATCACTTGTTATAATTAATTTATTTATTCAACGGGCTTGATTGAGACGGGTCGAAGGTCAGGGAAAAAAGAATACGCACTCGTCGTCGAAAAAATATAATTTATTATTTTAGTCTTTATTCACTGTTGGCTCCTTTCGCCTTTTCGTCTTGTTCACATGAGTTCACCAATCTTCGTCCTACAATTTTACGATCTTATCCCGGTCTCGCATCTCCTCCCCGATCTCCTCTCTTCCCCGCTCTTCTCTCTCCTTTCCACTTATTGAATAATAATATACTTATGTTTGTTTTCGCCTAGGCTTATTATACTAATTATTTAATTCATTGTTTGTCTCTTAAAGCTAAAAAAATCAAAAAGGATAACAATAATAATAAAGACAAAAATACGCATATTTCCTTCTCCTCTCCATGGGGATCGGGAATAATTGTGGCGGCGTCGGACTCGCCGTCACAATAGTTACAAGTCGCAAACTGAACTCGGTTCTGAGATTTGAAGCGTTTTAATGAGTGGCTTTAGTGTTTATTGAGTGACTTTCAAATTTTTACATTGGACCGTTCTTTGTTATCATCTTGTTTATGATTTCGGTCCCGAAATCTGAGTATCCTGAATCTTGGGAAGGGGCCGATAGTCAGATAGCGGCTCATTCTAATTGTTTAGCCTATTAGTCTGGAGTTTTTAATAACATGGAAATTTTCCATTGGTTTGTTGACAATTAGGTTTCGATTTTTCTGAGGGTGTCTTAAAGTAATATGTACGTGTGTATGTATGTGTGGGTGTGTAGACATGTTCATAGAGGTTTGTGGTGCTATGGATATGTCACTCCCCCAACCTTTGAATTTGGCCTGTCCTTAGGTCGATAAATTTGGATATAACAAAATATTATCTTCTATGTTTCTCGTAGGTTGATCGTTTACATTTTCTTGGTTTTTTGGTGTTTCTTCCTTTGATTTTACATATTTCACAATTAGTTTTCTTGGTATATTTTTAAACTTATAGAATAGGTATAATAATATGCTTATAATTGTAATTACAAATGTAGTTGTGGCTATTATTTGGAATATATTATAATATTTATAATATTGTGCTTCTATAATTTATTTTGTCTGAATATATGACAAGGGTTCTAAATTGGTTACATTATTATTTATGTAAATGCTTTGTGTCTATTCTAAGAAGGTATTTGAAAGTATAAATTCATATAGCTGCACTGAACAATTAAGTATTGTAACGAAAGCCGCCGAAAACCTTGGGCTTTCGATAGTCGGCTAGGTGGCAACGCTTCAAGCAGCGCCAAAATGAGACTTTGACAGCCCGGCTGCTTGGTCTCTTTATTTTCTCTCTGTTCCCTTATTCCTTGATTCCTTCTTCTAAAAACGAGATTAGAGAAAAGCACATGGCGCCTCGTGCGCTCTGTGAGTAGAAGACCCAATAAAGCTGCGAAGGAAGTGGACATTGACGGGATCGTGACCGCACACCGATCTAAAAAGAAGTTCCGCTCGGCTTTCCGTGACGAGATCCGCCCTTCCACGGCGGCAAAAATCGTTACATTGGTGCCAGGTGTGGAGTCACTAGGGTTTGCGAGAACCCTGACCTGCGTCAAAATGCCTAAGAATTCCGCCCGCCACCGCCGTCAAGCATCGCCAGCAAAGTGTAGCTTAGAAGATCCACAGGATGGAGCTCCCACCCTGGATGCAGTGGGCCGCTCCATCAACCGCTCGTTCCGCCTGATCGAACAAAAAGTGGAGGCGTTGGATCAGTCGCTCAACCTCAAGTTCGAGCAGAAGTTCGAACAAATGTGGGCGACGTTCGAGAGGACCATGCTGGGCAACAGCGAAGGCGTGAACAGGGGGTGAGCGACACTCCGCCAGCACCCCGTGCTTAGCTGAAATGGCCAATGCCGGTTCAGGACAGCCGCAGCAAGTGTTTCCACGGAGAATGGACGGCATTCCAGGGACCGCTTCGATGGCTGCCCATCGTCCAGTCGGAGACATAACCTCACAATGGGGAATTCTGGAGGTGTCGGATACAGAGCCGCCTCCTACCTTCGATGGAACACGTCCCTGGCCCGAATTTCAACGCCTACTTGACGGCATGGCCGAAGAATACCACTGGTCAGAGAGGAAGAAGTGTAGAAAGTTGTATACGAGTCTGCGTGGGCGTGCTCAGAGTTTTCACGCTACCCTACCAGAAGCCACTCTCAGCTCATACAACTCCCTGACAGCCCCCATGCGCGAATACTTTACAATCAGTAAGCACACCGGCTATCACACCTTCCACAATCGTATGCAGGGACCACGAGAGTCTTCGAGGACTTTGCACTAGAGCTGGAACGCCTGGGCAGAGCTGTATTTGGGGAGTTACCAACCGCCACCTACAACAGCATCATCGTGCAGCGATTTATCGACAGGATACGCGAGACGAGATACCAGGTCCCCATCATTAGCAGCCACCCGCGCCGCATTGAAGCCCAGTGCCGACAACGTCCAGCCGCCGCAGTAATGAACTTTGCTGCCGAAACCATAGAAGATCCCCTTGTCTCCCCAGGAAGAAGAACCCGAGGATCAGGAAGCCATAACCCGAGAGGACCGGCGTTTTCAACTAACTCCGTGCCGCTATCGGGAAACTAGCTACCGTCAGCCTCTCGGGGCGGAGGTTGACAGTCAACACCGTAAGCCCCAGTGATCAGCCGCTCACCCCCCCCCATTCCCCAACGGCGGTTCCGCAACCACCGTACGTCTCCGGCTCACCCTCAATCGCTCACCACACCTGCCCGGGTCACTGAATCCGGTTCCAACACCTGTAACGCCCCGCCACACCTCCACTCCATGCCACCGCCTACCGAGCAAACCGGAGCCCGACTAAATGCTCCTCCAAATGGAGTGGAAGCCATTGTGGCCCCCTTGCCTCCAGAGCCGTCGCCCGAAGACAGTGCCGCGCAGTCCACGGACATCGAGCTTACAGCGAACCGGAATACCCACACAGCACGCCGACCGACGGGTTCCCAACAGTCGAGACCTCCCCACCAAGTAGCTGCCAGAACGGGCTCACCTTACGACGAAACGCAGGCCGTCCGTTCGCAGCCGTTGCAGAAGCCGCAACCCGCCAATCGAGCAACCCGGCGCCCGAATAAATGCTCCTCCAAGTGGAGTCGAAGCCATCGTGGCCCCCTTTCCCTTACTGCCGCCGCCCAAAGAAAGTGCCGCTCAATCTCAGGAATTAGAGTTTGCCGCACTCCGGAGCGCCCGCACCCTACGTAGGCCAACGAGTTTACAGCTTACCCCGGAGCCGCCGTCCGGCGAGATCGCCAACGTACCGCCGCCCGCTCCACTAGAAACCGGTTCCATCCGATATGCCGTTGCCGCCGAGTCCTATGGGAAACTACCGCCGCCGCTTGCAGAACGAGAAGAACTGAACTCACCCCCCGTGGACACCGTTTTGGGCCGATTGTTCGCTGAACACCCATCCGGAAAGATGCAACTAATGCCGTCAATCGCAACTACAAACCCTATACAATATGACCATCGCGGGAGCCAGTCAATGCCCGCCGAAGCTAAGTATACCTGATCTTCTTACAGAAGCATCCTACACGGCTGATCGTCGACACTGGTGCCGCCGTCTCCCTCCTAAACGAGCGGGATACGCCTTCTTCCTTCTTCTAAAAACGAGATTAGAGAAAAGCACATGGCGCCTCGTGCGCTCTGTGAGTAGAAGACCCAATAAAGCTGCGAAATAATTAGGAACTACGCGTGTGTTTTTGGTTGAGCTTAGGCGAGGAAGTGGGCATTGACGGGATCGTGACCGCACACCGATCTAAAAAGTTCTGCTCGGCTTTCCGTGACGAGATCCGCCCTTCCACGGCGGCAAAAATCGTTACAGTATTTTAATAAAATTAATACCAACTATTGAAATTTCTTTATTAATACAATGTTTTAGGATTTTCTATGTTAATAAAATATTTGTTTTTTTTTTTTGTTTATTCGCGCGGAGTCCCACGGCCCACTTACCCGACCAACCGAGGGGCGCAGCCGTGTATCGTACGGCACGATTCGCGAGAAGATAGACGCGAGATAAGGAAATATAGGTAATAGAAAGATCAATTTTGTGCGAATGAAGCTAGTATTCATCGTTTTAGGAGCGGCAGAGAGTCAAGATTTGAGATTATAGGAAAAAGTCTATTATAGTCAGAACATAATACTCTGAAACGCTCATAGTTAGATCTACAATGATTTAAAATTAGGGGAATATAATTTCTAGTTAATCTACTTGGCACAGAAAAGTTTAGCCGACTTACCAAGTCGGGGGAGTCAATATCACCATGTATAAGGTTATAAATGAAGGCAGTATCAAGCATCGTTCTACGGTTGGCTAGGGAGGGTAAATTAATCAACAGAAGTCTACTAGAATAAGAAGGTAAGTTAAGATTTGCATTCCAGTTTAGGCGCCGTAACGCAAAAAGAAGAATGTTTTTTTGTACTGATTCAATACGACCAATATGTATTCCGTATTGTGGACTCCAGACGGGAGACCCATACTCCAGAATCGGATGGACTAACGAAATAAATAAAGTTTTAGTTAAATAAGGATCATCGAATTCTTTTGACCACCTTTTAATAAATCCAAGCACTCTTCTGACTTTATTAACCATGGACGAAATGTGGTTTAAAAATTTTTGTTTAGGGTCCGAGAGAACGCCAAGATCGTTAACAAGAGTTATTCTATCCAAAGAGCTGTCACTTAATGTGTATGTCGCGTATATCGGATTGACCCGATAAAAAGTCATCAGCTTGCACTTGGATGCGATTAAATTTAGTAAGTCATCTCGGCACCAGTTTTAAAAATTATCTAGATCGGATTGCAAGTCTAACGGGCAGGAAATGTCCTTATACTGCAGGCACAACTTAACATCATCTGCGTACATAAGTACGCGAGAATGACTTAAAATCGAAGGAAGATCGTTAATAAATAATATAAAAAGTAACGGACCCAGATGACTTCCTTGTGGGACACCGGAGCTAACACGAAGAATTTCAGAAATTGAATTTTTAAAAAGGACCCTTTGTGACCTGCCATTCAGATAACTTGAAATCCATTTAAGCAGATCAACTGGAAACCTAACAGGTCAAGTTTTTGAACAAGAAGTAAGAGATTTACAGAGTCAAATGCTTTACTAAAGTCAGTGAAAATGACGTCTGTTTGGAAACTACTATTAAAGCCTTTTATCACAAATGTAGTGAGCTCTAGAAGGTTTGTGATTGTGGATCTACGTTTAATAAATCCGTGTTGACACGGAGAAATGATTGATCTACAAAGGTGCTGCAAATGAGGAGTAATGTTTTTTCAAAAAGCTTAGGAATAGCTGACAACTTAGAAATACCTCTGTAGTTACTGGCTTCTAACTTGTTACCTTTTTTTAAAAGAGTAATAACAAATGATTACTTCCAAATATTTGGGAATTGGAAAGTTTCTAGAGATAAGGTAAACAACTTGTGAAGAGATTTGCACAGGGCCTTAGCGCAATACCTAAGCACGCACCTAGGAATACCATCGGGCCCTGGCGAATAAACAGGCTTAATACGAAGAAGTTCAAAAAGAAGAGGGCTTTCTGTTAAAGTGGGACAGAATATGAGGTTTGACTTGGATATGGTGTAAGAATAAGGCTGTGATGAGTAATCTAAAGTAGAGTAAGTCGTTTGAAAAAATTGGGCAAATAAATCGGCTATTGCCTGATCTGTGGTTGCCGTCATGTTTTCGAACGACAGCGAGGAAGGGAAAGAATTAGATTTACGCTTGGTGTTAACGAAATTATAAAACTGTTTCGGGCCCTGGGAGAACTGGAGCTTACAACGGTTTAAGTAACACTGAGCATTAAGCACGGTAAATCTTGACCGAGCACTTAAATATCTAGTATAAACAGATTGAGAGCCGGTATTTTTCATTTCCTAAAAAGTCTGGACTTTACATTTCTTAAGTTTGCTAAACCAAGGTGATTTATTGGAAATTGACGGATAGTACCACAGAACACAGGAATTAAAAAATGAGTTGATTGCAGTGTAAAAAACATTAACTGCATCGGACATATTATTGCATAAGTAAAGATCAGACCAATTGAAGCCAGAAATAAAATTATTTAGCCTCAAAAAGTCTGTATTCGTTTGGATGATTTTTCTGATTTTTCTTCTATAACTCTACCCGTATCAAATGAAAGTTCGATTGTAGGGTGATATGGATCTTCAGGCTGCGAGCGTGTTGCTACTCTGAACAGAAACACACCTTCAGGATTTGATACAAAACACAAATCAAGTGGGCGACCTAAAGAATTTCGAACATGGTTTTGTGACGACCCAGCGTCACAAATAATAAAAGAACATTCCAAAAACAACACACAATGATCTTTTTATATATTATATATTTCGTGACCCGATAACGAGTTATCGAGATCGGGATTCTCGTCATCGACCATTCTGGGCACACTCAACGGGGCCTATATAAGCAGAGGCAAGAACCCAGATGAGTCACTTGCGTTCCGACGATCTTCGAGGAAACATCAGCAACAAGAAACCAAGTAGATCTTTCCCAACGACCCAGAACACTTCGACCCGTCGTACGCACGACGAAGCGACTACTCGGCCCATTCGCAGCGCCGACACTCGCAGCAAGCAGTTCATCACTCGGTCCATTCGCAGCGCCGACACTTGAAGCAAGCAGTTCATCACTCGGCCCATCCGCAGCGCCGACACCCGCAGCAAGCAGTCCATCACTCGGCCCTTCCGAAGCGCCAAATCGACAGAGCAAGCAGTCCCGACGCATCTACACCCAACTACACGATTATACGATTACTTAGAAATACACGTCTCTAGCTTTACCCATCTGTGTCATTATTGGGGAAAGGGAGGTAAACCGATCTATAGAGGAATAAATATAAATTTCTGTCACGAACCCTGACCACGGCGAGCTATACCGCCTCCCAAAACAGGGTCGTTACAGTGGCGCCCGAGCAGATTAAAAACAAACAGATAGAAACCTCAAAATACCAGCAAAGATCGTTTACCCTCTTCCTCAACACAGCACGGATTAAAAATGGAAGACAAGCTAACTCGAAGCTGGATCAGCAATTGCAACAAGGCCCAACTGGAAATCTATCTGAGGGAATTCGACATCAAGCCAGAAACACGGTGCGATGACATGCGGAAACAAATGTCTGAGTTAATCAAAAGCGGTGCCCACAGCGAAGAAACCACCAAACGTCTTCAAGACCTAGCACAGAAGCACGCGAGAACCCCATCACCAGCAAGAAAGCAACGCAAAGCCTAAAAAAAGCATTAACGGAAGCACCGGCACTGACTTGCCCGGATTTTGGGAAAACGTTTATACTTTAGACGGACGCCAGCAACTGCGGATTAGGAGTGGTCCTGGCCCAAGAGGACGAAAACGGCGAGCACGTAATATCATACGCCAGTCGGAAGCTCACAAAGACAGAGCAAAACTACTCAGCGACCGAAAAAGAATGCCTGGCAATCCACTGGGGCATCCAGAAAATGAGGATGTACTTGGAAGGGTATCACTTTATTGTCATCACTGATCATCAGGCGCTAAAATGGCTAAACTCGATAGAGAGCCCGTCAGGACGAATTGCCAGATGGGCGTTGGCAATGCAGCCATACTCGTTCGAAATACGCTATCGCAAAGGAAAGCTCAATGTCGTTGCAGACGCACTATCCAGAATGCCAGAAGAAGAAGCTCACGGAGCCGAGCTCGAAGAAGACTTCTGGATTAAACAGAAACTCCTAGACTTGGAAAGAAATCCCGAAACATGGCCAGATTACGCGATAATCAACGGAAAACTATACAGACATCTACCGTCATGGGCTGCAGACGAGGACACACAGTCATGGAAACTATGCGTGGCGAAAAGTCAAAGAGCACGAGTACTGCGAGAAAACCACAGCGAAGCAACAGCAGGACACCTAGGGGTCAAAAAAACAAAACATCGGATAATGGCAACATACTACTGGCAAGGGATGCACAGAGACATACAGCAGCATGTACGAAGCTGCGAAACATGTCAACGCTACAAGACATCACAACAGCAAGCAGCTGGGAAAATGTTGACACAGATAGCGAAAACACCCTGTGAAACCTTGTGCATAGACTTTGTGGAGCCACTACCACGGTCTAGCCACGGTAATAACATGTTATTAGTAATGCTCGATAAATTCACGAAGTGGGTGGAGATAGCAGCCGTCCGGAAAGCGACCAAGGAAATCGTATTAAAGGTCCTCAGGGAACAAATTATATCACGGTTCGGAACCCCAAAAAACCTGATCTCGGACAATGGAGTACAATTCACAAGCAACAAGTTCAAGGCACAACTACAGAAATGGGGGATTGCCCACCAACTAACAGCCCCATACACCCCTCAGGAAAACCCAGCAGAAAGGGCAAACCGTACGATAAAAACAATGATAGCCCAATTCTCAGGAACAGAGCACACAAGATGGGACGACTGGCTACCTGAAATCTCGCTAGCAATCAACAGTAGCAGATCGGAATCAACAGGGTATAGC